GGGAGAAGATCTCTTTAAGGCGTTCACATTCCTCATGAAAAAACTTCCACGTAGATGAGAGTTGAAACGCACGGTTTAGCATGGTGATCAGCAGTGACCGTTTGTATCTGGCGTCAACGTGACTGTGGTAGTGTAGCAAAAGCCCTTTGTTCGTCGTTTTTCTGTAGACCATGGTGTCTAGGCGGCAACCATTCCTGATAACATCCATTCCGAGAAAGGGAAGCCTACCATTTTCTTGGAGTTCCATTGTGAAATCAATAGAGGGATGAGATTTGTTCAATGTCTCCAGAAATTCTGAGGCTGCTTCCAGATCAGGCATTACACTAAGTGTATTATCTACAAAGCGCTTGTAGAAGATAGGCATCTTGTTCCCTCTTTCTAACTGTTTCTTAATTGTACACATGAAGGCGTTTGCCATGAGGGTACATAGTGGCGATCCCATAGCTACACCGTCCACTTGTTCGTACAACTTTCCTTCGAAATGAAATAGCTGATTTTTGGTGGCGCTTCTCACCAGCTCCATCAAATCTGACTTCGTGATGTTAAGAGCGTATTCTCTGTTGAACCAGTCGTTTTCAAAGGCTCTCTCTGTGATACTCTCGATGGTTTCATCCACAGGAACGTTAGTAAACTGTGACGATACATCATACGACACCAAAACTTCACGGTCCTTGATTTTCATTTCACGAAGTTGGTCGGGCAAAACTACAGAATCATGAGGGCCACTTATTTACATCTCATTGAATCACAGTGCATCCTTTTGTTTTCTGCCTCGTTCTTCAAAGCATGCAAAAATATTGCTAACCATATGTTCGTTGACAGAAAGGGGCTTCAGCTTCTCGTCCAGCCACTTGGCAAGTTTATAATTATACGTTTCTGTAGCTGATAAAATCGGACGCATGGCTAACTTCTTGTGGGTTTTTGGAAGACCGTAAAGATGTACGAGTCTGGAACCCTTTTGGATTCGTTGAATCAAAAGTGTCTGAGGATTCACCTACCCGAATGGCTGATAAAAGAGAAGCCCCAGTCAGAATCGTGTTGCCCTACAAGGACCAGAAATCTGCAAATGTAGTACGAAAACAGTTGGCTGACCTCAGTCGGAAGATCAACGTAGATATTAGCCCAGTTTATACAAGTAAAAAGATCTAGAATGAAATTAGGGTCAGGGAAGACAAACCGACTCTTGTGAGTCAACAATGCGTGCTGTATTCATTTCAGTGTGGCCTGTGCGATGCAGGCTATGTCGGCTACACGTTTCGACACTTACACCAACGAATTGAAGAACACAAAGGATAGGCAATCAGACACCACCTCAGAGAGCAGCACGACATGGAGCCAGAAGACGTCACACACAGTTTTCAAATCTTAAGGAAGTGTCAGAACAAATTTGACTGTCTTGTTTTTGAAATGTTTTTTATCAAAGAACT